TAGGGTTCTCTTTACTTAGGCCTTAGTATGGGCCTTGGTGTTATTTTCTAATTAGAATTAGAAATTTATGCATATAATTAATGTAAACCTCTAATTCTAATATGAAGTGATTATTAATTTAAAAACTATACTTAAATTTTAAATATAATTTAGTAGAATGAAAAAAAAATTATTTTGCTTAAAAAAAATCTTGACAAATATATAGTCAGAACAACCCGTTCCGAATTCAGAACGGGCCGTTCTGTTTTAATGAGTCATGTCTTATTTTTTAATTTGGAACGGGCCGTTCTAAATTCGGAACGGGCCGTTCTGTTCCATTTTTCATGCGTTTTTTTTTCATATGGAACGGCACGTTCTCATTCGTTGTCCATGTGTTATTATATCATCTGGAACGACCCGTTTTGAATTCAGAACGGTTGTTCCGGACGTGTGTAGCAGTTCCTCCAGTTCCTCGTTTTTTATTTTTTGAGTAATTTAAAAAAAAATATTTCAGTAGTATTATAAGTTATTAATTTAGATTAATCTTATGATCAAAACTAATGGTTTACCATGCACTACTTGTTAAAGTGGTGTATGAGAGATGTTACCTTTAAATAAACATGGACTATTATTTAAAAAGATACAATTAATGAGGATTAAATAGCAAATATTAAAATATTGTTAAAAAAAACAAGTGCTGACAAAATAGTCACATGTCATCTATTGTGTGGTCCTAGTCACAGAGGGTTTTGGTGCCCCCTTAAATAAACTTGCACCAAAGGAAAAGCCTTGTTTTATTGGGAATATCATATCCTCCAAGTTTCACATTGGATGTTGTTTCTCGAGAAACCAGAAGTGGAGCAGGTGCGTGTAACCTCAGAGTTTCTTTCACTACACATTTTAAATAGTCCATCTGATCTATGTCATTCTCTTCTAATTTTTATTTATTCCCCACAACTCTTCTTACCTCCTCCTGCACTTTGTTCATTATGCCTCGGTTTTTTATGAGCTCCGCCATAGCCCATTCTATTGTTGTTGAAGTTGTGTCACTTCCTCCCAAAAACATGTCCTGAAATGAAAACAAAAAGTAGTTCATAGTCGTGGGTAATGCATACAACTATGTTGCACTTTTAGTTTCAAAAGATGTTTTTTCGCACTCTATACATATCCATCACAACATACAGAAAGAGATATAAACTCACTTATCAAGACCGATCATTTGACACACTTTAGAATAAGAAAAGAATGGATGGGTGGAATATGATATGCAATATAAACACTTACGGTAAAAATATGAGGTATGAAGAACAGAATAAAGAAAAATAGTGTGAGAATATCAATGCTCTTTAATTTCCACACACATGCATAAAGAGAGAGGAGTAGAAAGAAAAAAGACCATGAGGATTGCTTTAAGGTCATCTGTTGTGAGCTCGAACTCAAGCTTGCCACTGTCTTGAAGTTGAAGGAGAGTGTCGAGGAAGTCTTTCTTCTCGGAATCCCTATTTTCCATCTTACGCTCTGCAATTACACGATCAAAGAAAGCATCCAATGCTCCAAAAGTGGCCTTATATTTTCTAGTTTGGCCACTCATAACGCCAACCCAACCCAACAAAGGAAACAAATCTCCCAAACTTAAATCTTGAATTTGAATCATCACCTCCCTCCCAACCTCTCCAAAACTGCAATTACCATCGTCATCATCATATTTTCTTCCGAACATACACCTACAAACTACGTTGTTTGCGGCTGCAATTAGCATCTTGCTTAGGTTCACAGAGCAACCGTTACTCGAGCAAATATTACGTATGTTACTCACCAACGCCTCCACTTCCTCTTCTCTAATGAACTGAACTGATTGCACCCTTTTCATGCTCAGCAATTCAATCACGCAGAGTTTCCTTTTCTGTCTCCAAATGTCACCGTAGGATGAAAATGCAATGTCCTTACATCCGTAGAGTAAGATTCTTGTGGCTGTGAGGTGTGGCCTGCTGGCAAAAACTAGGTCATGGGTATGCAAAACTTCTTTGGCAAACTCTGCCGAGGAAACCACCAAAACGGGAAGCTGACCTAGATGCAACAACAATAGAGGACCGTATTTTTGTGAGAGGGTTCGAAAAGAGCGATGAGGCAGTGTTCCTAACTGATGGTAATTGCCAATTATAGGTAGTTTTGGTGGGGAAGGAGGTAGGTTTAGTTTGCATCTTCTTGTGATCTTAAACACAAGCAACATGCTGATGAAGAAGGAAAGTACCATGAAAAGGGTAGCATTTAGGTCATAAGGCATTTGCTTCATGAATGATGGTAGATGCAGAGACATTCTTCCTAAATTTGATCGTTTCACTGTTCATGTTGATACAGTACATTTATAGCAATCATAATATACTCCATGGAATAGCGCAGTAATTTGGTACTTTGAAACGATCTATCTAGGAGAATTTTTTTTAATTTCTTCATTTTTTTATACGTAAACATTCATTGTATTTGTAACAATTTTAATATCGTACGTAAAATTAATTCATTACTCAGTAAATTAGCAGTTCATTAGTTTAGAAATACTTGAACAAGACAAAAAATTATTGACCAAAATCTTTATATTTAAGCGGTTAAAACTAGCTATAGCCAGAGAAATGATGACCAATATGAGAATATTTTGTTTTGTGTTTGGGTGCGTCGGCAATGTTGCGTTTGTATATGCTGCTTCCTGATGTGTACTTAATTGGACACACGGAAAGCAGCGTGCAGATATGAATAGATAAGTACTGTGCAGCGTTTGGCTAGTTTATATTATATAGTAGATAAACTTCAGAAGTACTTCTGGCAGCGGCACTGTTTATCGTGATGTAAAATGATGCGTTGTCACAACTCACAACATATTTGATGCCGCTGTCAATATCATAACTTCAAAAAAGCAGATTAGGAATGGATCCTGTGATTATCGTTACGAAATTGTTGAAGCTTTGCGTCATCCGAGAACAATCATGATGGCAAAAGAACATTTGTTGAAAATTGTCCAGGCAGCATCTACTTAACCACCGATAAGATGAAAAATTATCAAGTACTAATTTGAACCACCGGTGTATATTTTCTTAATCAATATTTACATATTACATGTACCGGTCAGAAAACATAATTAGGTATTTTGTTTTAAAATAAAATAAATAAATATAAGATAATAGAAGTTAAATAACGGTGATTTGTACAATGGAAAAGTATAAGTATTTTGAAATATAGTTATAGAGATAAAAATAAAATATTTACACCAAAATTATGTATTTCTTTTATATATAGCATAGATTAAAAATAAAATAATAATAAAAATGATATAGATTAAATAATAGAGTGATTTGTAATTAGAGGTATAATAACATATTTGTATCAAGTTTTGTTCAACGACAAAGCTATAAGAGAAGAAAATTACGTTTAATATAATTTTAAAATTTGGGAATAGAGTAAAACAAACACAATGATTTGTAAGTAATTGTTACTCAAAAAACCTTTTGGAGGGTAAGATACTATTCCTTTGTTGCAATTCTAACTCTCAAAGCGACACTGCTTCACTCAAGTCTTAATTTCATATCAAATTTAGAAAGAAGAAAAAAATTAGTCATAAAAACTATAATTAACGAAAACTAGCATGTCTTCATTCATATTCAAACATATAATCACACAATCACCATTCACATATTTGGTGTGCACACATTTATCAAATTCAATGAAAGAAAAACTATCACGTAAAACACAATTAATTAAATTTTGCTTGACATTGTTTTGTTGCTTATTTTAGTCCACATAGGAAATTCAATACTTTACATACTATATTTGCTTGACCAGTACCACACACCCTTTGAGTTGAGTCATAAATTTTTTCCTATAAATCACCTTTTAAAGCGATAGCCTTTCCATTCATATTTACATTCACTTGGTGAATCACCTTTGAGTTCATTAGTCTTTTATATGCTTTGCGGCGGCTCCTCCTCATTAGTCTCCAAATAAATTTTTTGCTGTATATTTTTTTTTGAAAAAAATAGATGTGCTATAATATCATTATGCGAATGGAGTCTTAACTAGGCTAAGACTCTCCAACGTATCAATCATGTGGTCTATGTCAAAAGAGGCTAAAACTAAAAAGAAACTGTATATATGTTTGAAAAGTTTTAAAAATTTGTTTTGATTGTATCGGTTAATTAGAGCTTTGATTACCGATTATTTGGAGATAATTTAAGCAGCAACTTATGGGAATTTAATTTGTGAGAATTGTGCTGCAGGAAAACATGTTTGAATAGGTTAAAAAATGAGTTTCGGATCCGTTGATTTGATTTGATTTGGGATTATTTAATAGCACCAAATGGTCTAATTCTTTAAAAGCCTTTGAACCATTAATTATTTAAAAAAAAATAATTGAGCGCAAAACCTTGCCCTTAATACCTAAAACCGTAGCATATAATTATATATAAAAATATTATATATATATATATATATATATATATATGCTGG